AAGTTTCTAGATTCTTCAGATCTTAACTGTAATATTTGGTTATATAATCAATCCTTAGTTAATCTAAGTGAAATGCAGATTTGTTTCTTATTAGCTAATAATTTCATTTGTATGTTTTATCAGACACATAATTGAGCATTTCCTAGAAATAGACCTTAAAATCCAAGTTAAATTGTCTTACCTCTTTTTTCTTCCTTTCCAAAAACAAGTCATCAACTTTGGAACCTCTTCCTGTTAGCAAATTTCTAAAGAATAGTTTTATTCCTTAGAACACAAAGAATAGGAAATGTATATCTTAAGAACTAGGTGTATCCCAACTTGGAAAAGTTTGCATTTTTTATTAAATATTGACTCTTCAAATTAATGTCTTCCCTTTCCAATGATAGAGTTGAAATAGTTAAAACAAAACTTTCTCAATAAGCAAGATAGGAAATTAAAAGCAAATACATTGTCCCAAATGCTTTCCAGAAATCTATAAGAAACACAAACTTATACAGCATCAGTAGAGGTAATACCATTTTTACCAGTGACGAATGATCAGAGTCCTTTGTTCTAGAAGTGATGACCCCAGTTAAATCTTAGCATTACACATTTCCCTTCAGAGATGGAGGGGAGTGAGTCGCTTGCAACCATGACAAAACATGAGACTCAGCTAATTGGTGTGGTTTTGATGATGCCACAGTTCTGCCCAAAACCCTTATAACTAGCAAGTTTGCCCGAAAGATTATTGAATTACTCCCCTGATCATGCATTATTTAAAGGGAAGTGCTGTTGTTATAGAAGCCAGCTGTTTAACCATTGGAATTCTGTCTGTTGGCCAACTTTTAAGATACAGCAGTACATTGTGACTAAACATTATGTCTACTCATGGAGGAGTCAAAGTCTAGGTTAGGTGGTGACCAACTTGTCTGGTAAGCAATCTTCGGTCTACATGCTACGAAACCTTTGAAGCAAAACTGACAAAATAAATGTATAAATATATAAATTTTCAATGTCAAGACTGTCAGCAAGAAATATTAAATGGAATGTTATACATGCCTATTCATTCTAACAGTTGAGTAAGTGCATGAATGTTTCATCGTGCCAGTACAACAGAACTCTTGAACCACATCTTGCTATAGAAGGGACTATACCAAGCACCTGTCTTTTTTTTTTTTTTTTTTTTTTGTACCATTGAGTAAGAACAGTGTTTTGAGCATCTCGGGCAACTTCAAATAGATAGAAAACAAATTTTTACCTTCTAAGTTAGAATATATTTGAACCTCTTTCTTGAAATAGTTTCCAACCATACTGAATATTGGGCCCAACCCAGTTTTCTTTTTCATCTTTTCACTTGTTATAGAATGTTTGGAATAGAAAAGACCATAGCAGTTATCCACTGTGTTCAACAAAGGGATCTTCTGCTAGGATCTCTGACAGATGTTTATTACAGCCTTTACTTAACTGTTTCCTGCAATGAGGAGGTCATTACTTTTCAGTGAAATCTGTCCCATATCTAACACTTGTAAATTCAAATTGTTAGGAATCCTTTCTTATATTAAGCCAATATTGGCTTCTCATTCACCTACCAGCTCTGATTCTGCCCAGTGGAGCAGAATTATATAGCTCCTAATGAAGAGTTTCTCAAGGCAAAAATAGAACAATTAGCTCCATCTCATTTAAATGTTAATTGAAATGACTTTAGTTATAATTTACAAGTCATTAAAAAATAACTATCTCAAATAGAAAAATATGAAATACTGAAGCAAATTGTTTTATTACCTTTCTGATAAATTACTTTGTATCAGACTTCTAGTTGTAGACCACAGCAGCAAATACCTTTACTGTGGTTCTGGAAAAATAAACAATATATAGCATTTGAAGATATGGAACAAAACTTTGACCCTCAACTGATCTTTCAATTGGTGAGAAATTAGATTTTTGTTTGTTAAATATTTTGATGTAGAGTCAGAAAAAAAATCAAGCTTATAGGGCACTTCAAAAGATGAATTAAACTTCAAAAGGCAATAGGTAAACACCTATTATATTCATGTATTTCCAATGACGTACAATGAGTTCATTGTAGACATTATGAGTAGACAAAGAAAAACATCTGTCTGGATTGTGGTAACTAGAGATAATTGGCAATTATATTTACAGCAAAATTTAAGTCTGTATGCCACTATTTCAACAATATTTTAACAAATGTAGACATGAGATAGCTTTCTCTATGGAACATTGCAGAAAAGTCTTAAAATTCTCTGTACCTAAATTCATCCATCTATAGACTAAAAAGAATGAGCTCAGAGTTTAGATAAGCTTAGAGTTTGACTGGGCCATGTTAAACTCTGAGCTCATTTAAGCAAGGTGATAAGCCAGATGCCCAGAATGTCCTGTTATTTTTTGCTGTGATGATGATGACTTTCTATTTTACAAGAGGAAATAGACATGTGGTGAGTTTTGTGGTTGTTTATAGTCACCAAAAAGAGACTCTGCAATCTTAGAAACGATCTCTGCCATCCCAAGATGAAGGATGGTGTCTTCCCGCTGTATCAGGCAAAGGGCTCCAGCAGAATTCAGTTAGAGAAGCTTGAAAGGGAAATACTAGATAGGTCCTGGAATCCCAGAGCCTGCCCTTGTCTGTCTTCAAACCCTAAGCATGAATTCTGAAATCAGTTGTTTCTGGGTTGGCTAACTTTGAAAGCTTCTGAGCTCCTCCTACCAGCCCACCCCGAAACATCAGGTTACTGTTTCATAATCAACAAATGAATCCCAATTACATCTCATTAAGAAATTTATAGTTTCAACAAAGAGCAATCATTACATTTAATGGACAAAAGGTACAATGACCACAAAATAGGCCAAGTTACCTTTTCCTTCCTTCCCACCCCCAAGAGAGAAGCAAAAGGGTATCAGCTGTGCTTTACTGGCTAGCCACTTAGCAAAAAGTATGCAGAAGTCCTTTGTGGATTACAAACGACCATGTAAGCCCATTTGTGTCTTTCCTCTAATTTATAGTTCCAGGAAAAGATTATAAAAACAAAAAAAACAAAAAACATTGTTTACATTGCTCAGGGGACCAGCTGGGGCACGGCTGGCCAGGGCCCTGTCCCTCCCAAACCCCACAGCCATCAGGAGCCCACAGAGTCTGCTCTGAGAGCTGAGCAGCAGACCCCGCCCAGAAAGACCACAAATGAACCCTCACTGAGTTACTACCTCCAGCTGTCCTAAGAATGACAATAAACCTGCCTTACGGGAGGAAGCAGTCACTAGGGTCCTGTGCCAAGCATCAGGAAAGCATTTGGGTTCTTAGAGGATGCCATGAATCCTGGCCCTTCCAGCAGGGAGGCAGCCAAGCTAGTTTGGTAGCAGGCCATTACCATGGGCCTGATCTCTCCCAATGAGGCAGTGCAAAATACGTGAGGATTCTGACTTTCAAAATCCTATCCTCATGTAATGGTGTCATTATTACACAAACATAGACTTGTGATTTAAAACGTAATGTTTTCTTCTGTCAGGAATTAAGATTGAATAAATGTCAGATTGATTAACTGGATTCTTTATAATTTATAAATTATAAAGAATTTATATTTATGTGCCCATAATTTATAAATTTTCTTCCATAAAGCCTGAGCATCAGTGGAGAAGATGAGGAGAGATAAGGGAAGAGAAGAGAAAGCAAGGTTCTGTCCCTCTGCCCTTGCCTGAGCTAGAACAGAATCACATGAAAGATGGACATTTTGTTCATTGTTTCAGTTTGGTAGTTACTCTATAAGAAACAGAATTCGTTGTTCTGGTCTCTTGGGGTGATAAGAGAGGGAGCCCTATTAGATTGGTATTGTAATTAATTTTAAGTCCCAAGACTTCTCCACATGGTCAATAGTGACACTGCTTCTCCATAGTTCACATAGGACCATGGAAACGGTACTTGGAGAAAGCTGGCTATGATTTATTTAGGACCTCCACGATATGATAGGTTCTATGCTATGTATTATTCATACATGATTTCATTTAATCCTCAAACAATTCCTACAAGGATGATATTATTAACTCCATTATATAAATGGGCAAACTGAGGCCCAGAGAGCTTAGTGACTTGTCCAGAGTCATACAACAGCTCCTCTGGGCTCCATGAGGCACTTGGGCTTTGCAGCAAGCAGATCTGAGTTTGTATCTTGATTCCGCGATTTGCTGCACGAATGACCTTGAGCAAGTCTTTGCCACCTCTGAGTCTCAGTTTTCACATTAGTAAAATGAGGATCCCTTTCCAAACTTAAAACCTCTTTGGTGTTCAACCTGACTATACACTCAGGGCAGTTACACAAAAAGGCAAACATTTGAGCTGTTCTGCTTATAAAAACAATGTGGAATTGCCAGCAAGATTAAGAAAATAATGCATGATCTTCTTTTAATATTTCTATCATCCTCTGAAGCCAATATATAAGAAAATACTACTTTGGGAGGCCAAGGAGGGTGGATCACGAGGTCAAGAGATCGAGACCATCCTGGTCAACATGGTGAAACCCCGTCTCTACTAAAACTACAAAAAATTAGCTGGGCATGGTGGCACGTGCCTGTAGTCCCAGCTACTCAGGAGGCTGAGACAGGAGAATTGCCTGAACCCAGGAGGCAGAGATTGCGGTGAGCCAAGATTGCGCCATTGCACTCCAGCCTGGGTAACAAGAGCGAAACTCCGTCACAAAAAAAAAAAAAAGAAAGAAAAGAAAAGACTAGGATTGGGCATAGACAAGATCCCTGCCTATGGGTTGCAAAGCTTGGGGAGAATTACCACAAATAGTGTGGTGAATGAGTTAGTGCTGAGTGTGGTACAGAATCCAGGAGACATACTGGAATCCAGAAAGATCCATGAGGTCAGGAATCATTGGGGAAGTTTCAAGAAGAGGTCGAGACATTGCAGAATACGTAGGTTAATTAGATGTGGGGAGAGACAAGAGCTGGGTGGAAGACTGAAGAAAGCAGTTTCCACCCTAACATGAGGCCTCTCTGTTTGATTTGTACAGACAAGCCCACTGGGTATGGCTCCAGCAGTCGGAGGGTGCCTCAGACAGGCATTGTGAATGAGTGCTGCTTCCGGAGCTGTGATCTGAGGAGACTGGAGATGTACTGCGCACCCCTCAAGCCTGTCAAGTCAGCCCGCTCTGCCCGTGCCCAGCGCCACACTGACATGCCCAAGACCCAGAAGGTAAGCCCACCTTGGTGGGATCTAACCATCCTCAAGTGGTCTCTCTTTTGTGCATGTGAGTGGGCAAAACAGTAATTCTGCCCCATAGACCCCTGGCTTACAGGTCAAAAAAAGCTCCATTCACACCAAAGGGATGGATTTCATCCCCATCTCTTTGGTCACTCTGCATTGCAAATTTCCCCTTCCATGGCTATGGATGATGTGAAGATTGGAAGATGTTACAATACAGTGGCTAAACAAACATGGGCTTTGGTATCAGACAAAAGTGAAGTCCTGGCTTCCCCACACACCAACTGAGAGCCCTTGCCAAATAATGTAACGTATCCAAGCCTCAGTTTCATCAGTAACATTGGGATAATAATAACATCTACCACACCAGTCTGTTGTCAGAGTTCAGCAGTTAATGCATATACTTTGAGATGCTTTTCAAATGCCTGCATAAAGTAATTGTTGGACCATTGTTAATGTCTGTCATAATTTTACTTAATAATAAAGCTTGTAACCTTTCAAGTTCTGTAACCTTGCAAATAAAAAAAAAGGCTAATGGGAATTACTCAAAATTCACATTCAGTAGCAAACATAATTAAACAAGAAACATTAAAAATAGAAATTTCTGTTTGGCCATAAGAATGCCTAGAAGTTTGTAATGATCAAAATCTGCAGGCATTATTTTCTAAGAGCTAGACTGTAAACAAACCTCAGAGGTACCATCTATGCCATCAGAAGTACATGAAACATCTGATGCACATTGAGTCACTTGATCAATTTTTGTTGAATGAGTGAATGAATGAACAAATGAATATAATGGATTAACTAAAATTTATCCATTAAGTAGAAAGAATAAGAACTGAAGAGAAGGTAAAGGAGGAAAAAGAGCAAGGAAGTAGAGTAAGGGAAAAATTAGCCCTCATTTAAGTTTTCTTGGGGACTCTGTTGAAAAAAAGAAGGCCAACATGTGGTTTTAATCTTTGAAGCTAGAACAAATAATATTGTACAAAAGCACAAGATGAGAGATCAAGAAGCTCACAATGACACCTTTCTGCTTCTTGGTCCTAAACCTCAGCTGAGGCTGGAAGAGGACCATAGTAGCTTATTAGAGATGTGACCCCAGGGAGCCCCTCTGCAGGATGGAAGGGGACCAAGCAAGCTGCAACACACTGAGAACACAGAAGCCACTGATCACTCAGGAGGCAAGGATCTCAGAAAAGACTTATAGATGAATGTGGCAGGAAAGTGTGCTTGCTGGGGCAAAGGCAGGTTTATTCTTTCTCTTCCCAGGCGACCCAGTGCATCTTGGTTTCTAACTGCAGAGGGAGTAGGTGTCAAGAGATGAGCCCCAAAGTTCTGGAATGCTAAGTCTTGTGGCTGAGGTCTAGACCCCTCTCCAGTGCCAGTGCTGTCTCCTGCATCATATGGAGACTGGACATTCTGAGCTCATTCAAAGGGTCTTTCACCAGGGACACAGTGGGAACCACTTGTTCTCAGTGCAATTATTTTGTGATATTTACAGTATCAGCCCCCATCTACCAACAAGAACACGAAGTCTCAGAGGAGAAGGAAAGGTGAGCCAAAGACACACCCAGGAGGGGAACAGAAGGAGGGCACAGAAGCAAGTCTGCAAATCAGAGGATAAAAGGAAGAGCAGAGGAGGGAGATTGGAAGTAGAAATGCTGAATGCAGAGGCAAAAAAGAAAAATGGAGGACAGGAGGACTAAGCAGACAGAGGCAAGGATGATGAGAGAGGAGCAGACAGCAAGAAAGAAAAGCAGAAAATGCAATAGAGTAAATGAAGAAAAGTAGGCCTGCTGGGGCTGGATAATGATGTGATGGAAATAGAAGTAACCTGTTAGAGAATGTGGCTAAGAAACACGGAGAAAACGGAAAAGAAAAATGTAATGCCCTAGAAAGCCCAAGGAAAGACAGTGGCAAATATTAAAAAAAAGAATAAAAATTATAAAATAGGCAAAAAAGACACCCTATTCTTTGCCTCTAAAACAGAATTAAAGAATTTTTAAAAAATTAAGGCTTCTATATGCATTTTAAAATTTTGTATGAATCTGTTATGGAAGAACTGCCCATGTCAATATATGTCCAGAGTTAAATATTAGCTTGAAATTCTTAGCAAGACTGAATTGTGTCATAGAAATTCCCAGATTCCCTTTTCCTGCAATGTTATTGGAGGCTGCATTTCTTAGTCAAGTCCAGGGTTTAGGCCAAAGGGTATCCAATATTGCCTAAAACCCTGTGAGGACTGTGAGGTAACTTTTGAGAAGAGGCCACTGCACTTTTCTTCATCTTTTTTACACTTTGGAATCAGATACAAAAGATGTATAAGGTTGCTAGGGCTGTCATAACACAGTACTATAGACTGGGTAGTTTAAACCACAGAAATTGAAATTTTTCATAGTTCTGGGAGTTGAAGGTCCCAAATCAACGTTTCAGCCCTTGCAAGGGCCTTAGAGAAGGCTCTGTCATGTGTTCCTTCCCTTGGCTTGTAGGTGACCTCCTTCTTCTCCCCCTGTGTCTTTACTTTATCTTCCCTCCATATATATCTCTGTGTCTGAACATCCTCTGTGTAAAAGGACACCAGCCAGATTGGATTAGGGCCTACCCCACTGACCTCATTTTAACTTAATTATCTCTGTAAAGACTCTGTCTCCAAATACAGTCATATTTTAATGTACTGGGAATTAGGACTTCAACATGTGAATTTGGACACAATTCAGCCAGTGACAGAAGACTTCTGATATCTGATGATAACCACGGCATTTTGACTACAGCTCCTAGAAAACACTCCCCTCCCATCGCCACCTCACCACAAATTTATTTTTATACCTGAAATCATGAGTTTCTGCTCCATGAAAACCACAGGACCATACTATGTTAGAGCTGGCAGAGGCCTCAGAAATTGGTTCAATCCCTTTATTTTAAAGACAAGGACACTGAGATCCAGAAGTAGGTAAAGACGTGCTTGGGTTCTAAGCTGCTCTCCTGGCCAGCAGACAGCAGCGCATAATCAAAGTGGGTCAACTCAAGAATTCCAGAAAGAAAAGACAGGGTAGAAGTACTGTGTAAAGTCTTTTACTAATTTAATATTTTTCCACCAGAAGAAAGGGAGCAAATGAGAGCAAGAGTGCTGGATTTCCCTGAGGGTGAGGAAAAGCTAAATAGGATCACATAATTCAGATTTTAGAGATCTTCTTCAGATCCCTTGGTCTAAGCAGGAGAACTGGGGTCTTCTTCATAGATAATAAAGCAAACAGTGCAAAAGTCTAACCATTCTCCAAGTTACGTAGAAGAGCTGAGAAAGGGCATAAGACAGAAGTACTCAGTCAAGCAAATGACAGCTTTTGGGGGTAAGAATATGACTAAACTCAGAAGTGTATTATTTCATCCAAGTAGCCTATTTTGAAGATGTCATGGTATAAAGGAAACTCCTTTCTGCGTGGTCCTCCATGCCCCTGCCATGCTTTTTCCTCCAGGATCACCGTTTCTAGTGGTTCGCTGAAAACCCAGGATTACTTAAATATGATAGAGATGCTCAAGGCTTAATCCAGGAGGAAAAGGTCCAACTGAAAGCATGCCGAAGCCCCACATGGGAGCCAAGCCACTGCTGCTGTGGTTGCAAAGTGGATCCTGGCTTATCAGAGCAGAGAGAAGCCAGGCTGGTGCCTTAGCCTAAGTGATGAGTCAGGAAATACTAAGTTCTTATTCAGGAGATGCCAAGTTCTCCTGCTAAGACATCCATGCTTTGGGACCAGCTGCAGGCAGAGGCCAATTCCTTCTACAACCATCACCTTAGAGCAGCATATAAACACAGATGGTTCTTCAAGGGATCACAGCTCCATAGAATGACTAAGAATTCATATCCTGTGGAAAGGTTTGAATAAACTATAATTATACCCAATCATAAACTTTATTCAAGAAGAACTAAAGCAAAGGCAAAGAGAGAAACAAGGAAAGAGAGAGGGAGGGAGAAAGTGAGGGAGGGAGGGAGAGGAGGGGAGGGAAGGGAAGGAGAGGAAGGGAAGGGAAGGGAAGGAAGGGAAGGAGAGGAGGAAGGGAGGAAGGTCAAAAGGAAGGGAGGGAAGGGAAGGGAAGGGAAAGGAAGGGGCAAAAAGATTTTCTAGTTAAAGAATGCTTAACTGGCAAACTACATACTGCAGCACAGTCCTTTTCGGAATGAGTTTTACCAATTCTAAAGCAATTATCTTGAATGCCTACATGTGATTACTGAATAATATGAACCAAGAAAACAGGAAGAATCTATGATTATCTTTCCATCTCCTTCTTTCTAGTATCAGTACCCAAGCATCTAGTGATAAATGACATCTAATGCTGTTTGAATGGGTAGATGGATGGATGGATGGATGGATGGACAAATGAGTGACATAGGCTGATGAATAGTGATAGAAACACACACCATAGAAACAAGTTGCACTGCTGAGATGAAATGATTCCTGTTCTCCTACATAAGACAGTGAGGCAAGTATAGAGTATAAAAGGAAAGGCATAGGAGCTGTGCTTATACTACAAGTCTTGCATGTTTGGAATCTCCTTCTCTGGCCAAACTGAAATTGTTCAAGGACCTACTGCTGCAGGTGGCAACTGGCTAAGAATTCCACAGTGAATGTTATATACCTATTATTCCTCTTAATGTTTCTTTGAAGTAGGCAGAATATTAATAAACATTTAAAATTCCAGTGTTTCAACTTCAACTGTTTCCTAGGGCAAATTGATACTTGTGTGTAAAACTAATTGGAATATGTATGGAATAATCATCCTGATATAAAATAGGTGAAAAATATTTTTTATTGGGCATCTACAATGTGCAAACTTCTGTGCTAGGCATGAACAATAGTTATAAGCATTGGAGACGCTAAAGTACAGTTTTTAAGGTGGCTAATGTCTGTAATCCTAGCACTTCGGGAGGCTGAGGCAGGCAGATTGCCTGAGCTCAGGAGTTTGAGTCCAGCCTGGGCAACATAGCAAAACCCTGT